AGGGGTAACTTTGAGGGCCTGGGAATACTCAAAGTGTGTCACAGGGAGACAAGAGGAGTAATGACACAGACTAGGTGAGCCTGTGATCTCAGAAGGGTATGCACATTGGAACACTGCATCAACGGTGGAAAGGGATATCTAAAATGAGGAACCCGGAAAAGCCCTAGAGTAGTGTCCCAAAATATTTCAAGTCTAAATGACATTAAAAGTTTCTTTTTTGTACAGCCTAAAATACTGTTAGATGTCTTGGCCAGGCCTCTATGTAACTGCAGTAATTTATCAGCTGTGATCACTAGAGTAACTCCTGTTTGGAGTCTTTGAACGGGAAAGGATTGTCTTTAGCAATTTTGCTGGAGCCTGTGTTCTCACAGGAGGAAAGGGCTTCCTAGAACAAAGCTTTGAAGATTTAATATAATATAAACAATTCTTTTCATCCGCTCAATATAATATAACAGGTCTTGGGGCATAATAACTCATTTTCATATTAATATAAAATCAAGCTCAACTTCTGGAGTCTGATTTCTTTGGTATGTGAACACATTAAAGGTTTTAAAATTAAATAACAATTATCTAGAGCTGGAAATAGACAAAGGAAATAATTTAAGGATTTGTAGACATTTTTGTGTCTTCCATATTAAAATATCATCTGTTTTGAGATTAGCAGGAGGAATCATTTAATAACACTCTGAGGGCAGCAGAGAGGGCTCAGCAGTTGAGTGTACACTGCTCCTGTATGAGACCTAAGTTCTGTTATCAGCACCCATGTTGACCAATCCCCATGTGAACCTAAACACACACACACACACACACACACACACACACACACACACACACACACACACACACACACACCATGTCTGAAAAATGCAGAGAATTTTTGTGACTATTTTCAGAATTTGACAAGAATCTTAGTCCTCAGTTGTCCATGTGAGAAAAGATCTGTTATTTTTCTTTTAATGAAAGATTTCAAGTGGTAACAAAAGAGGGTTGACTGAAGAGATGACAAAGACATGTCTGACGTGTAAGACAGATCCATCAGTGGATAGAAAGTTTCTGGGGCAGCAACATGCCTTCATATTCTATGAAGAACAAGGAGACTTTGAGGCTGGGATAGATGCAGGGGCTTGAGGTCAGAGCTGAGGCTGAACATGTCACGGGAACCAGACTTACATAGCTTCATATGTCATTAGGTATCTTTTTCACTGTAAGTGAGATGAGACTTCAAAGGACTATGAAGAAAGAAATTACAGGAACTGGCTTTTCTCCTCAAAGCAGTATTTTGGCTACTAAATCCAGTAGAGATGAAAAGAAACAGGAGCGGAAGCAAACAGAACTTTAAAAGGCTACAGTGGTGGGGGATGATGGTGACTTGAAGGAACGTGGATGGGAAATTCTGGGCTTCTGGGTTTATGCTTCAAACAGAATTTCCAGATAAGATGGATGTATCTTGTAGGAGAAGTGGAATTGAATGACCAAAAGCTTCAACGTGCATCACTTGAAGGCAGGGAGTTAAATAGTGATGGGAAAGACGGAGCACGGGTTTAGGGTGTAGCCATGAAAGGTTGGATATTGAGTTTGAGATGCCTAGGGGAATTTGAGAAGCATTATAGCCAACTGAATACACAGATCTGGACAGGGGGAAGAGTAAAGAGCTGAAGTTGCAGAGGCAAGAAAAAGACAAGAAGAATTTGAAGCTATGAAGCCAGAGGTAGAGAAAGAGATCTAAAACAGAAACGTGGAGTTCTGACCTTTCTCAGTGTTGGTGTGCTAGACAGAAGAAAACAAAAAACCATGGTGATGGATACCTGTGTAACCTGAGTGCTCAGGAGAGCGGGTCAGGATGATTGCTGCTAGCGTGAGGACACATAGTGAGTTCCAAGTCAGTCAAAGATGCACAGTGAGAGCCTGTCTCAAAACAGAACAACCAAACCAAACCAAACCAAACAAACAAACAGAAGAGACAGGAAGCAGATGGAAGAGAACGTGGGACCTCTATCAACAATCTTGTGAGGGCACTGACACCACGCAGCCATGCCCCTTTTAGCCTCTGGTGGGACTCCATGACCGCTGTCTCTTCATCACTCACGCTATCTCCTAGTCTAGTTCTTGCTCTCACCACTCACATTCTTCCTTCATTGCACTGGCTTTGAATGGCCTCATTGATAGGCTCAACTTCATGAGTGTAAAATGCATTTTTGGAAACTGTCAAACCTAATTTTGGAATTCATCGGTTGGATGGAATGGGTGACCAACTTAGTTAATACTGTTCTTGATCAGAAATCAGGCATGGACATTGAAAAATATCACCCAGCTTGCTGGGAGATTTATATGCCAGATTTGAAAGCAATTTCAGCAGGCTTTGTCTAAATTGTTTTGAGTAATGACGACATTAGTGAAACAAACATATTGTTTCTAAGGGGACTACTTTCAAGGCTAAGATGTATGTAACAATTTATATAAACTCTTTTGACTTAACAGTATTTCTTGCTATTCTTTTTGTCACATGGTGATAGAGATGATGAATATCCATGGACACACATGTTGACATAAATAATATTCGACTGAATCCTCATTTCCCAATGTAAACATTTCCTGAACAACTGTTACTATGATTTACAACAGTTTCCTTATTCAAAGCAATGGAGGATAATTACTTCATTTTGAGACAGAGTTTTTCCATCTATCAGGCTGGCCCTAAATGTGCTACACAACTGGGGATGACATTAAACTTCTGATCCACCTGCTAGGATTTCTGGTGTGTCACCATGCCTGATTCAGATAGTACTGGAGACTGAACTGAGGGCTTTGTGTATACCAGGCAAGGACTCCATTGATGCCACTTTTTCATAAAATCATTTAATTAAGTTAAACATCTATAAAAACTTAAAAAACATGTGTTCAGATATTTCATAAATTGCCAACTGTGAACACTACAGGTTTAGCAGGAAACATCCTTGGTGCTCTGGCTAATACTACGTCTTCTAAGGGATGTGTCCTCTGCAGATGATGCCAATTACTTGTTCACTGAGTAAATATTTATGAATTGTAGTGTGCACCAGACACATGTCATGTGATGAGGAGACTGCTCCTTTAGATCCTTCCAAACACACGCTGGCAGACTTACGGGCACAAGGAGTTGAGCCAAGACTGAGCTGGCTGCATGCACATCCTGTGTAGTCCTCCGGTAGTTACGTCACAAGCAGGGCCTGTTTGGCCAGGCTCAGGTAAGCTTGGAGGAGTTGGTGCTGTCTAGTTCTCCTTTCTACTTACTGTGCCCACACTCAGAACACTTTTCACTTGCCCTGTGGCACAGCAAGTTCTCTGCCGTCCCAGACAATGACCATGCTTTGATGTGAAGGTGATCCCTCTTTCTCCATATCTCTCTGATTTTAATTCTTAAGGGAGCTCTTCTCCTTCCCTTTGAGGTCCCATCACATGTAAGTCTCCACGTACTGTGCCATTTCTGTCTAATTCACTCCCTTTCACCCTGAAGCTGGATCATGGCAAGGAGGCACTTTCATCCAAATAAACCTTACCTGTCTAACCCAATGGAAGACCTGCCGAGAGTTCCTGTGTTAAGCATGTTCCCTGCCGAAGGAAGACTGCAAAGATTGGGATTACTGCCTACTTCCTCCATGTGCAGACATCCAAACAGGACCGCAGCATCAGGAACGACCAGGAAAGGGCTGGGAAGGTGGCTCAGTGGGTAGAGGGCTTGATGCTCAAGTGGGAGACCCTGAGTCTGGGTCCCATGCCAGCTAGATCCAGCGGCATGATTCTGTAACCATGGTGCCAGGCAGGGATTGGTAAGGGCAGAGCTTAGTTCTCTGCTGTCTGCCTCTCAATGGCCAGTGAGCCCAGGCAGTCAGTGAGTTACAGATTCAACGAGAGACCCTGTCTCAAAAAAAATAAGGTGGAGAATGATAGAGAAAAATGCCTGACTTTAGCCTCCATGTATTTGTGAACACACACACACACACACACACACACACACACACACACACACACCAGAGGAGATATTGGGATAACACAATGTCATTAGATAGAAAAAAATAAGATGCCAGTGATCACTGAAAGAAGCAAAGATGAAATGTTTGACAAGAAAAATACAAAAAGGTCTTTCAATGACACCCAACAAACTCCAATAGTAACATAGGCCCAGTTTTCTTTTTGAAGAGGAAGAAATGCATCTAAGTCATAAGTTGGAGACTAAGATCAGAACGTAAAAGTAAAAATAAAAGTACAGTGGGACTTTTGGCTGGAAACCCCAATAAAACTGTTAGCTTCACAGAGACAGAAGACAGAGAGAGTGGGTCTTCCACTGAGCTCAGTAGCATCAGCCACTCCAGTTCTTGGAAACCAGTCTGTGTCTCCCCCAAGCCAGCCCTGCTTTCTCAAAGACTATTCACTGGGGTTTCCCCGAACCTTCATTTTGAATATAGCCCTGTGTTCATTCAGTGACTCTCTCTGCCAGATCCGATAGCTTTTACCCTAAAGATCATGTTCACATGTTCACACTGAGACAAAAAGCACACAGAGACTGCTCTGTCCTCATTTAATCTTGGCTGTTAGACCTACTTCTGTTGTGGAATATTCCTTTATAGTGTGTGAAGATGTGCCTCTGCAATTGGTTTATTAAAAAGCTAAACAGCCAATACCTAGGCAGGAGGACAGAGAGAGCTCTGGGGAGAAGAAAGACAGAGTTGCCAGCCAGAAGTGTAAGAAGCAGGATGTGGAGACTGGAGATGGGGTAAGGAGAAATTGGAAGAGTGTACACTAAGAACTGTGGATTAATTTAAGTTAGAGGAGCTGGTTAGTTAAGGCCGAGCTTTCAAAATTAGGAGGGAGTCTCTCTGTCATTATTTGGGAGCTGGCTGGCGGGACAGAAAAAAGGCTCCTTACATATTTTCTTTTACTAATGTTGACACTAATGGCCCAAAGGAGGGGAGTAGCTGCTCAATGGAGGGCTCCGTGTCTCTTTTGACATGGGAGGAACTTACGATGTTTTTCATGTGTTTCACTAGGATGGTGAGCTTCGAATCCTCATATGTCATCACTAACTGTACCTTAGGGTTATGGTCTGGAACTTTTCCACCTGAAAAAACAACAGCAACAACAACAAAAAATAAAACAGCCAGTGTCAGTTAAGTCAGATTATCTCAGCACGGAATCCATGAAGCATTTAAGGAGTAAACAGCACCAGCAGAAGACGAAGGGAAAATTCTTCAGATGACGTTGAAATAGAGAGTCAGGACACTGGGTGCTTAGTCAGAGGTGGGGTTTGTGTCTCCACCTCTTGACCTCCCTCTCTTCCTGACAGTCTGTTTCAGTTTTGATTGGCACCATTATTTAAACAACGATCGAAAATTAGAACCTCCATGTAGCTTTTAGTTGTTGTTTTTCTCATTAACCATAATGATCATTTTAAAAACTCAGAGACTGAGAGTGGTCTTTAATATTTATTCCATCTTAAATTGTGTGTGTGTGTGTGTAGAGAGAGAGAGAGAGAGAGAGAGAGAGAGAGCGAGAGAGAGAGAGAGAGAGAGAGAGAGAGAGAGAGAGAGAGAGAGAGAGAGAGAGAGAGAGAGAGAGAGAGAGAGCATGAGTACTCACATATGAATGCAGGTGCCCATGGAAGCCAGAAAAAAAGTGCATTCAATATCCTGGACCTGAAGTTACAGGCTGTTTTGAGGCACAGACATAAATGCTGGGACCCAAACTCAGGTCCCCTGGAAGAGCAGTACCCGCTTTTACCTCCTATGATGTCTCTTCAGGTCAGTAAATCTACCGCAGACATCCACTATGATTAAGCTCATCAGTTTCTGTGGCAAGTGACCTACTTCTGAGTGGCTGGGGCGAACAAGTGATAAAATTCAGTAGTTTGTGGTGTGGTAGGCACTCAAAGACACTTGGAGCTGCTCAGAGCCAGCCTGCATTAGCACTCACCTCTGCTTTTCCTGTCTCATGGAAACTAATTTAGATCCAATATCCAGCCTACTCTGCCACATCCTTCTCTAAGTTTCCCCTAGACTTCAAATCTGTTTGTTTCTAGTGGTTACTGCTTTTGACAGCAATGTTTATAAAACCTCCCTTTGGATCAAAGTACCTTTTTATTTTAAAAATTCATTTTTATTTGGTGGGGGGGGGGTAAATGATTGCTATACAACCTGGAGAGACTGAACCTGGAGAGTCATGCTTGGTGGCTGGGTCCTCTATCTTTTCACCAGTCCTGGGATTTGCCTGCCACCAAAATCACTTAGTACATTTGTTTATTATTTTATTTCATTCCCCACTATCATTTTATATTGTAACTCACACATATAGTCCTTAAAATATTCTTTGCCATGTCCTTCTGATAGTTTTCATTTTATTTGCTTCCATTAAAACTCTCCTGGCCACTATTTTTTTTTTTGGCTGTTGTCCTTTTTCAAAGCCTAACCAAAAAGTGAGTATTTCTGGGTCAGCTTTTCCTTGAACACTCTTAGCACAACCTGTGTCAGTTCATTCTGACATAATTATTTTACATCTTGTCTAGCTGATTTAGATCTGTCTCAGCATCAACTTCTTCTTTGCCCCCGAAGGGACGTAATGTAGCACGGATAATAAAGACCCAGAGACAGCTACTGAGGTTCAAGCTGAAGACCAGAGAGGCAAAGCAGCCAGCCAGTAGCTCTTACCTCTACCAAGGCTGGAATGGAGGTCCTGTCTTCCCTGTGACTGGAAACTGAGTCTCACACGAGACCCTTTGCTTATCCTTACATACCTCTCTAGTGCTGGGATTAAAGGTGTGTGCCACCACTGACCAGTTTCTATAGCTAACTAGTGTGTCTGGCTTTGTGTTCTGATCCCCAAGCTAGCTTTATTAAATCATAAACAATGCATCACCATAACATAATCTATTAATTGTTTTATAATACACATACTAGGTGTTTTCTCAGGCAACATCAATTTTACCTTGAGTCACATCATTATGTCAATAAAATGGAGACTTTAATAGTTAAACTGAAATTTTCTGCTTTTTTTGCCTAAGGATTAAGCATAGATTATTGTGAGTCTAATGATTCTCTTGATAGTCTCTGGTTACACTGAGAGTCAGCTTGTTCACTGAACTCTCTCATCTTTCCCATCGGTTGAGATTGCACCGGCAGACTGTGTCCTTCCTGTATGCCTCTTTCATGGTTACTAGAGAAGGTCACTCGTCACACGTAGGTGGTAGTAGTTTTATTATCAATTAATTGAGTTCATAGATAATAATGTGGATTACTGATACTTAAAAGAAGCCTTCACTGAACCAAAGGGACATCTGTTACATAAACACATTAAAAGTCACTTAAATATCCCCATTAGAGTGATTGAGAGACACTGTAAGTTGATTCCCACTGAAACACATTACATTTCATGATAAAAAAATATTAGTGGAGTACTAGGTATAAAGGTGCTAAAAATACTGATGCATTTTTAATGCAAAATGAACATTACATTTGAATTAAAAAGTGGTGGAATTAATTAAATAGAAACCCAATGTGTTTAATGGTAAAAGTTTTAATTTAAGGGTAGGAAATTATCACAGATTTATGGTGGAGTGTCCGAACAGTAAAAGTAGGATTGCTGCTTTCTCTGATTGACAGTGATGTTCTCTGGAGAGAACTGTACTGTGGTCTCCCCTCTTTACTCATGTCCCTTGGCCACCGGACATGAGGACAAATGGGGGCAGAAGTGACCGGCTGGGCCTCGTCTGGCCTGCGAGCATGGGGATAGCCTTCTGGGAGACATCTTCAGTGAGGCAGCTCAACTTTACTGCAGAGTACTGGGGGTACATGGGACTGGGGAGGGTAGCTGGAGAATCGCCTCATTTGCATTAAGTGGCCTCCTCCTATCACATAGCTGGATTAGTATCAGCATGGCCCTAGAAAAATAGCTAGAGCATGTCACCAAATGACCACATGGGTAGCAGTGGAAGAATGTTTGCAGGGAGCTGTAACAAGGGTCACACTGGAGATAAATTAGGAGAGTTTCTATGAATACAGTCAGGTGGAAAGCAGAAAGCCCTCCACTGGGAAGCAGGAGGCCTCCGTGTTGCCGAACTCAGAGAGAGCTGCCAAGCCATGGTAGAAAGCATACTCTGGCCAGCAGGGCCTCCTAACACTCTATGGAGAGATTATTAACAAGAGATTGCCATCACAGCATTGGGGAGCTCAGAACCCCAGAAAAATCTGGGTCACTGGGAATCCTTAGCAGCTAATAGTTAGCAGTACTTAAAAAGATTGAGAACGAGCCGGTCTATGGCAGGCATGTCACTACATTCTCATAACACGCCCTCCAAAGTTATGCAGACCAAAAATGGTAGGTCCCAGGCACTCACAGTAGCAGTGTTTACCTGAACAAGGTCTGTACTAGACGAAGCCGGTTAAAATTCCAGTATGGTTTGGGAGAGAGACACCCAAGGCCCCAATCCCTACCCGGGGAACTATTGCCAACTGGTGGAGGAGGAAATGTCACTGGTATTTTGGGGTTGTGGCCACGAGTAGCTTGCCCATGCCCTCAGTGTGCTGCTCCACACCTGTGCACGTATGGAAACCACTAATGGGTATCAACAGGTTGTAAGAGAGAAGTACATGAAATTGAAAGTGGCTGGTTGTGGCAGGGAAGCCCCAGGAGAGATAAAGGGGTAAGAGGATGGGGGTGGTGGTGGCTGTGATTAAGACGCATGTATGAAATTTTCAAAGAATAAATTAAAATATTATTTTAAAAACTAAGTGAACAGAAAATAAAACATGAAGTTCAGGATTAAGTGATCTCCAGGGCCATGTTTACAAACATTATGCTGTAACTTGAAAAATGAGAGCTATAATATGAAAGAAAAAAAAGTTTAAAAGAAGAGCTCAATTAGGAAAACTTGAGAATAGCTTGATGTGGAGAAAGGGATCCTAGAATTTCCTGGTCACTGTGGGGATTTACAGCTGGATTCCCTCTGACAACCTCAGGAATGGTAAAGTATTATTGAGCCTAAATATGTCTGTTCGCAGTCCCTGAACTAGCAAATACTATACTCCCCATGTTTTACGGGAGCATGGGAGGATGGGAGAGAGAGGGAACTGGGATTGATATGTAAAATAAGATCGTTTCTAAATTAAATAAAAAATTTTAAAAATGGGATTTTGAAGGTTTTTTTTGTTGTTTTGCTTTGTTTTTGTTTCTAGTTTTTTTTTTACCGGAAGATATTTTTCCTTGTGATTAAAGTTGGAGAATGATTTTTAAAGTTTGAAGTAAAATGTCTTCCTATGCCTAATGTGTATTTAACCATTGTTCTAGTCGTCTCTGTATCTTTCCAGAGAGAGCCACATCCTTTTCAAACTGCTCCATAAAAGCAAAGGTGAATACTCCATTCTTCATCTCCACCGCTGACAAAGGCCATATTACTCTTCTGTACAAAGCACTTATAGATACTTTTCCACTGATGCTTTGATAATAATTTTTAGTTTCTAAAGCATAGTTTCCACTATATGGGGCTATTGCCATTTATCTAAATAGTTCCACATGATGGACAAGTGGGTCTTTCCCAGTGATGTGTAGGCTTTGTGAACCATGTTTCAGGGGACAGCATCAAAGACATGTCACATTGTGCCAGTTTGTGTATATCATAACAAAAACTTAATTTGCTGGTCAGAGTCTACTTGCCTATGCAATCTTGATAAATACTGCCAAATTAACGTCCAAGGTGCTTGTACCAATTTGTACTATCACCAGCAGCACATGAGAGGCCTGCTGATTCTCAACTAAGATGTTAATTAAATTGTTGGGTTTTGCCAATCTGATGAGAGAGAGACAGACAGACAGACAGAGAGAGAGAGAGAGAGAGAGAGAGAGAGAGAGAGAGAGAGAGAGAGAGAGTAGAGAATCATGAATGAGTCTGAGCATCTTCTCATTGGTGAAGACCCACTTGTATTTTTATGAACTGATCGTTCATAGTCTTAATTTTCTTATCCATTTCTAGATGATGAGTATGTTCTAAGTGAACAAATCTTGGGATGAATCAGCAATACAGCATCTCCTCTGCCAATCATCCTTGCATTCTATTTTTACTTTGCTGAAGTG